GGATATACTGAGGCAATACACAAGCAATAAAGGGCTATACATGTGCAATACATATGCAATACATATCTGTCATGGCATTTGCCAATGAAATCACTGATTTGGTTACATTTGTATTTTTCTTCTTTGCAAGGGGAAAGATAAAACCATGGAAACTAGAGATTGACAAATTTCCTTCTAACTTGACTTTCATAAATTGATGAACTAACTATGTTATCTCATTACATCTTAAGATATACATAAGAAAGTGGCAAAAAAAACAACAAATTTACATCTCCTCTTGGTCGGGAATTTTAACACATTTTATATATATCAACAAAATTCGACGACATCTCCTCGTGGTACCGAATTTAAGTTGAAAGTTATAGCAATTTCCTCCCCAAGATGACGCTGCCACTTGAATCAAGACAATATTCCATCTGTATAAAACGGATAAAAAATGCATATTATAAGCAAATCATTCAATCACAATATAAAAGTTATTATAAACATGGGTGAAGTGAATATGTATCTTGGCAGGCGAATAAAAATACAAATAAGGAAATCATCAATAGTGCATTTGGCATTGTTCAAACAGTTAAAGAAGCATAGTCTCAGAGAAGAAGTAAAGCAAGATAATGGAACTAGATAAATGCAAGAGCTGTCAACAAACCTTAAGTTTTCCAAGAACCCTTTTCACAGCACCAACACAACCTTGGCATGATACCAACCTTGAGGACTGTAGACTGCACCAAAAACAGATCTAAGATTGAAGTACGAAAAATAATGAAAAACAAGATCCAACATATGCCAACTTTACAATATCAAACTTATGTTAAAATATTGGCATTCTCATAAAACTTACAAACTCCACAATCACTTTTGGAGATATCCTCCACCTCAAGACTTAATCAATTTATGTAGTTCATTCAAAAATCACATCCCAAAACATAACAAACCAAATTCAGATCATTGAACCAAATAACTGTTTCTTCAATTGTTTTTTGTCAGAATAAAAAACTAACTCAATAATCAAATTCAATAAGCAAAAGAAAATCTTCAAAATCATTGTAGACTAGACAAGCTTCAAGCATAATATTCCTTAAGACTAACAGAGAAATAGTTGTTGCACAATCCCAAAATTTTGGTACAAAAAGTTCTTGTATAATCCCACTGAAATAACATTCTCTACACATGTTGAAAATATTAATTGTAAACAAAGAGAGTAAAATTTTAAATTCAACCCACAATTATGTTTAAACAAATTTCTGTACAAACTCACCCAAATTTGATTTGGAGGGACTTAAACTCACATCAAGCACCAAAAATCCAAACCCTTATACGAAATTGAAACAAGGAGAAGAAAACCCAAATATGTAGGAGAAAAGTTGAGTTGGCTACCTGAGACGCCATCTCTAGGTATAGAGGTCGAAAGAGGTGACAGAGAGTGGGAGATGGAGGTGGAAAGGTCGTTGTTGCCGATGTGGGTCAGGGTTTCTGAGGAGGTGACAGTGATTGTCGCCAATGTGGGTGCGAGCGAGCGAGAGAGAAGAGAGGAGAGGAGGGCTGAGTGAGTGAGATCGAGAAATTGTGAAAGAGGATTTCAGAGAGCTCAAAACGACTAAACAAAAGTGAAAGATGGGTAATAGGCTGTCAATAGGGAGTTTTTATAAGGAGTATTTGTGATTGTGTTTCAAAATAAGGATATTAGTGAATAAATTAGGTGAGCCAGGGGTAAAGCCGCCAATTTCCCAAAAAGAAAACATGATGAAGGTGGAAAAGCCATAACCAAAAAAAAGAAAAAAAAAAGAAAAATGAAGGCACAAGTGTCATCCAGTCGGATTGAATGCGAGCTCAGCCACCCAAACCACCACGCGGCGACAAACAACTCCTTCAAAGGGAAAAGCGAGCTAACGGCTTCAAACAACCAACACCTAAGAAAGAAGAAAAAGAAAGAGGCTTTTGTTATTTTTTTTTCTTTCTATATTTCTACCCGCTCTGTAATAAAGAAAGAAGAAAGAAAGAGAGATGCTGAGCAGAACAACAGCCATAGCAGCTTCTCTTTCAGTCTCTACTGGTTCTACAAACCCATCAAAATTAAACTATTCTCGATCGTTGGGGCTCAACAACAATCTCTCCTACACTGCTTCAAACCCTGTAATTGTATCATCCAACTCCAACTTTGCGAGCTTCGCATGGAACACCAGCAACAACAGTAACTATACAAAGCCAAGAATGGAGAGGTTCACAACCCGGGCTTCGGCGCAGCCCCTCACGAATGCTGATGAGCTCATAGACTCTGTCCAGACTTTCATCTTCGACTGCGATGGTGAGCCCTGCCCACCTCGTCCTTCAACTCCAAACTCGTTATTTTATACTTAGATTGATATTGATTAAATTTGATATCGGAGGCCTGAAAGTGTGATCATTTCAAGTAGCTCCAAAAACTGAGCGTCAAGTACTAACCGTGAGTGTTGGCTTGGCTTAGCTCATTTCAAGTAAATTGCATTTCTTTTTTGTTTTTTTGTTTGTTTTGAGGTGATAATTTTGTTGGTTAATGTTTGAGATAGGTAGGGGGCTTCCTGTATGGTGATCTTAATCTATCTGTTAGGCTTAGGATCTTAAAATATGAAAAAGCAATTGTATTGATTTGATTTCCTGTGCATTTATCTGAATCTGATATCCATTTTGTATGGTTACCTCTTTAAAGGAAAATTCAATATATTCAGAACAAAGTGTCGTGTGTGTGGGATGTTGCTTACCCAATTTATAAATATTGCTAATTGGGTGACATAAATTTGAGGGGGAACTAGGATTACTCAATCATGTTCCATTAAAATTTGAATAATGTCTTGGACAATCTTATAATGTTAATTATGTTTTGGATGTAATGCTCCATTACTAATGTTTGAACTCATCACCAAACAACTGCAGGAGTTATATGGAAAGGAGATAAGCTCATAGATGGTGTGCCAGAAACTCTTGATCTGCTACGGTCTAAGGTCTCTCTGTGAATGCGGTCATGTATTTGTACTAGTTTTGTACACATTCATATCACAAGCAAAATCATTCTACTTCATACATTATATTTAACTATTTCTTTACCCTTACTATTGGTTCCAAATGTAGCATAATATTCTCTTCTTTGTCAGCAAAAAGACAGGGACATAATTTTAAGAGACAAGCATTGTTATGTGGCCTCAAACCACTTGCATATTGTCTTTTCCTTCAGGGCAAAAGATTAGTTTTTGTTACCAACAACTCAACAAAGTCTCGGAAGCAATATGGTAAAAAGTTCGAGACACTTGGTCTGAAAGTCAATGAGGTCAGTCTGACAGTGTGCCACTTTTTTTTATATTTTTTTTTCCATGTTCATAGATTTCAGCAAGTCGGTAATTCTAATCACACCTTAAAATTTTCAGGAGGAAATTTTTGCGTCATCTTTTGCTGCTGCTGCCTATTTGAAGTCCATTAATTTCCCCAAAGATAAAAAGGTAACTAGCATGCCGGTTGGTAAAAATAAAATGAAAGCTGAAAATTTTGTTTCGATTCCCTTTGCCTAAAAGTGGGATTTTCGGAAAAGGGAATGGTTTGCTTCTGGTACCTCATGATTAGCACTAAATGAATTAACGGGTGCATGTTAATCATGAAATTAGATGATAATAGACTGATGATCGAGCCTTTTATAGGTTTATGTGATTGGTGAGGAAGGTATCTTGAAGGAGCTTGAGCTTGCTGGATATCAATATCTTGGTGGACCAGTAAGTATAAGTCCGAAATCATACAAGTTTCAGTACATGATGATGTTACTTGTACTTTTTCTATTTTATATCCTAGCCGTGAAATCGAATGACATGTTATTCATTTGGCTAACAAGAACATTGCACAAAACTTGGTGTCAGTATTTCCCTTGCATTTGTATCTTCAGTTTCGTTTTAAATTTAGGATAAAGCTTAAAAGCTTACCTATAGTTTAAAAGATCTTCAGGCACTCCGTCCATAATATGTACATATCCTTCTAAATAGCAAATTGTTGCTTGAGAGACATAACGAGGTCTACATCTTCTTTGGATGTAAAAGTAAATATTTGGAAACTGAAAGTTCCTCTGGTAATTATTTAGTATGAATGTTGAGGTAGTGGATGAAGTAAAGGAGGATAGCCTGCCTGCCCCTCTCCCAGGACCATGCAGTTTGCTCCAGAAAATCTAATTGTTTTCTCTCCCCCACCCCCACCAAACAATAATTTTTTGAAATCATCATCTTTTTGTGTGCATGCATCTGTGTGCTCGTGTGCCTAAGGCCCTAAACTATCAGGAAAAGTTAGGTAGTTACAATTGTTTATAATTAGTAGTTTGAGGGATGGACTGGGCTACAGTTGTTTATAATTCTTTTTATTCATTAATATTCCCCTGTTATATTACATGTGATGAGAAGTATTTTTTTAAATGCTTTCCTTTTCTTACAGGAAGACGGTGGGAAGAAGATAGATCTGAAGCCTGGATTTCTGATGGAGCATGATGAGAATGTATACTTCTGTCCTTTCTTGCTTCATAGAACTTTGTTTATTATTGGGTTTGTACTGATAGAAATGCAAGTAGAACTTTCTCTCAATAGAGCTTTTGCATTCCTTTTTGGAACCTTAAACTGACCATACACATGTGAGGTTCTTTCTTTCTTTCTTCTTCTTAAAAAAAGAAAAAAATAAATCAACTTTTAATATTGCTAGATCTGTTTGTTTGTTGTCTTCTAGGTTGGAGCTGTTGTGGTTGGGTTTGACCGAAATTTCAACTACTACAAAATTCAGTAAGTTCTGGTAGTTCTTGATTATGTCAATGTATGTGTGTTGAACACACTGCAAATTATTTTTGTTGCAAGGTACTGTACTTTCCTTTGTAATTAAAATTTGAAGAATCACTGCTGCTTCAAGTACCTTCTGTTTTAGATTCTTCTTGCCTCAGAAATTATTAGGGCTTTGTTTTAATTTTTAAACGTCTGAAGGTTTGGATTGAAAAAGAGATGCCACATAACTGCCACAATTCACTATATATTTTTCTTTATTTTTCTATGGAGTGTACTTGTGCTCAAATTCAGATGTATATGCAAACATTGTGTTACAAAGTATTAAATGGAAGGTAATGTACATGTTACTGTACCAAGTACCAACACCATATGGTCTTATTATATATGCAGTGCACTTGTTACATGTATTGCATTTGGTCTTCTCTGGTGGCAGTTATCATAAATCAATGTTTATGTGATGGAAGGTATGGGACACTTTGTATACGTGAAAACCCTGGATGTCTTTTCATTGCAACAAATCGTGATGCTGTCACTCATCTCACAGATGCTCAGGAATGGGCAGGTTCATTTCTCTCCTCTCTTGTTGCACTTTGTGTTTTAATTACATTATTTTCAACTGCGTTATGCTGTAAAACATGTAAAGATTTTCCTAATTGGATTTTTTTTTCAAATTCAAAAGTCATTTGTTAGGGGTAGCCATTTTCACACTCCTATTTGTACACTTGGCACTCACATTATATATGCTTTCATCTCCTTGTTTCTGTTCAATATATCAAAGCATAAAATAAGGGAGAGGAGATAGGATTGTGAAAACGGCCACCTTTTATTCGATCTTATAAAAAAAAAAAAACTTTTTAGAATTTATTAAACTCGTTAATATTCAGAATACTGAATCAAATTATCTCTGATGCACGGGTTAGTGGTTCCAAATGACTTGATTATATGAGACCTAAACTTCTAAAGTTGACTGGGAAATTTTGAAATTCTGGACCTGAAAATACCTAGCCAAACAGGTTGTTACCGAACTGATGAAGCTACTATAATTTTCTCTCAATAGCTACTATAATTTATACTCAACTTCAGGTGGTGGTTCTATGGTTGGCGCTATCCGTGGATCTACTCAACGTGAGCCGCTGGTTGTGGGAAAACCCTCAACATTTATGATGGACTACTTAGCAAACGAGTAAGTCCAATGCTTTATTTATTGTTCTTCATTGTTTTATCTTAATTCTTAAGTAACATGAGTGCTGTTATCTTTAGCAAAGACCATATTCTGATAAGAGTTTTTATGTTATATAACACCAAGGCATTCTCTTAATGTGGATATCATATATCGTGAAACATATAATGCGCTTTAATTACCTTTGTGTACCAAGTATTATACGTACCACAATATCTGTACTCCGAGATGCATTATAAGAGATATAAATGAGTATTGCATTGTAAGACATATAATGCACCTACTTATGCTGATGAATGAAGACAGCGATTGATTTGCTTTGTAAGCACAAGACTACTTGTGATAACAAAACCATTGAAGTGCTAACAAATTGTAGTGTTAGTCCATCCAAGACTTGCAAAAATGAAATTAAACTGTGCACAGAGTACACAAGTGTGTGTGTGTGCCTGCACATTTACTCTCAGATATAGAGAGAGATCAATGCTGTCTTACATAATCTTCTTTTATCTTACTGTAGATTAATTCTTTAGTTATTGAAATTAAATTGCTCTATTTGGTTTTCTGACAAACATTAGAGGAGTTTCATCATTGACTCATCTTTTTAATCACTCACTATGCTTAGCAACCATCTAGATTATATCACCTGTCTTAAAAGTTAAAAGACACTCAAAGGCTAAAAGACGATTTTGACTAATGAGGTAAACATCAATGATTTTGTAAATACAAGAATGCAATTATTGTAACAGAATGTACAATTTTCGTGATGTAATTTTGCATTCTAATTAGTAGCTGACATGTACTAAGTCGCAGAACACTTGACATCTTAAAGAAGTGAACTTCAATGGATCTGATGAAAACATATTGGTCATATAATTGCTGATATTAGTCAGTTGAATTTAATCAATGACAGATTTGGCATCCTGAAGTCACAGATTTGCATGGTTGGGGACAGATTAGATACTGATATTCTGTTTGGACAAAATGGTGGTTGCAAAACTCTTCTTGTTCTCTCAGGTAACTAAACTAAAGTCTGCATTTTTGGCCCAAGTTTTCTTGAGTTTGTGATGTATTTGAGCTAATTAAGGCTTTGCCTTTCTGTCTAATAGGTGTCACCACTTTATCAGTGCTTCAGAGTCCTAACAACTCCATACAACCAGATTTTTACACGAACAAGATTTCAGACTTTTTGTCTTTGAAGGCTACAACTGTATGATTATTATGTTACCCCTAAAATCAATCTTGGGCGCATCTCTCATTATTTGTCTCTGCCAGTCATCACTTTTATATTATTAATGCCCATGTAATTTTTTTTTATGGATGTAGTATTCTGAAACAAATAGAAACAGAGTACATTAATAAATAAAAGTTATGCTCTTGAGATCTCTATGCAATTGTTAAACTGGTTGCTAATGTATTCCTGCATCTTCTTCCTGGCAACCAGACCAGCACATAGCTGCAGCCATCCGTGTCTCTGAATTTCTTGTTTTTGCTTCTCTTTCTTCTGTGTGATAGGCTATTGCGCTTGGATAGGTAGAGCTAGCTAAGGAGGTGTGTTCATTTCATGTCCCAAAAGTCTCTCGGTCTCACCCTAGTGGAGCCTGTTATTTGTCTCTTGTCTAAGTTGTGAAAATTGAAAATAGTATTTTATTATAATATTATTGAGTATTAGATTCCATACAAATAGATAGCGGAATATGTGATGTTCATTCTGTTTGAGGCTTTTTGTCATCCGAAAGAGACAAGTCCTCATTTGATAACCATGCTTAGTGGAGGAGAAGGAGCCCGATCCACCATTTTACCCAAATATAATTGGTAATCGTTGATTGAGATCGTGTTTTTTTTTTTCTTCTCTTTTTTCTGGTTGAATGAATGATATTGGATTCGTATTCAATACGGAGTGCATAAACAAAAGTTCCATTACCATGTTTAGGAAAAAAGGAAAAAAAAGAAGGTAATAGTTCCTTATATATATATTTTTTTATAACTACCATCCATGGATGGTTTATAAAGAAAAAGTACCATTACATAAGAAAAAACATTCAATTCCAGTAACACATTTATATCAATAAAGAAAACACATAGTTTCTTATTTGAATAGTACAATGTTCGAAAAATCGTTAGATGGTAAGCGGGAGACAGGGGATCGGGCTTCTCCTCGGTAAGGTATTGCATTGGGCCGAGAATTTATTTGGGCCGAACCGTGGATTTTTTGGGCCTCAACAGGCATCTAGGCATTTTATAAAAAAAAAAAATTGTATTATAAATTATAAATTTATACTAAAATCATGTAAAATAAAAGGATATATAAAAAACAAGGCATGGCCATGGATAATTAGAGAGAGAGAGGGTCGCGAGTCATGGCGGGTTGTGAGGAGAAACACTTACATAAAACGAGGATAACATTATTTTGCTATTTCTGGCCAATCACGATATGCCACGCATAATAACTTCTCCATGTAACAAACTGTGATTAGCTGGGGATAGCAAAACAGAGTTATCCCCGTTTCATACAAGTTTTTCTGGTGGGCGAGGGGTTGTTACAGCCTTGTGTCAATAGGAAAACCTAGGTTTTCTTTGAAGTCAGGAAAAAAAATCTAGAAAAAAGGGAACCCGACCCGCCCAGACCCGCCTAAATCCCGCCTAGCGCCTAGGGCGGCCCATTTTTCGAACCCAATTTTTTTTTTCTTTCCTATTCACATTTATTTCTCCCCCTACCCCCCATCTTTTGTTTTTTGATCGAATACCCTACCCCCCATCTCAGTCATCATGAAAAGCAACATTTTCCTCTCTTTCTTCCTCTCTCCATTTCCTCAGAATCTTCCCTCCTCCTCTAATTTACGTACTTGCCACTCCCTCTATTTCTCTCTTTCCTCCAATCCCAACCCCAGCCCTCTTTAGTTCAATGCAATTAGGATTGGTTCCCAATTAGGGTTTTGATCCTCTTCACCAGAAAACCCACGAAATGGAATCAGACGACGAGTTCGACATGCTCGACGCCAATGATGACGACGACAATGACGAAGATTTCTATAGTGGCGGCGACGACGACGCAGCCGCCGCTATGGACAGCGACGAAGCTGGAGTTGCCGATTACGAGTTCATTGACAACGACTCCGACGATTCCAATGATGTCGCCTCACATCGATACCAGGTGGCTTTCTGCTTATTTTATTTTTAATTATGACAGTTTCAGCTCTTTTATTTTCTTATTCTAGTTTCTATAAAATGATTTTGGTTATCTGAATTTTCTTCATTCTGATTCTGGGTTGTGAAAGTCGAGCCTTTTTAGTTGTGAAATGTTTATTTCGCTTAATTTTGGTGTTGGGTTTGATGACTAATTTTCTTACCTTTTCCCCGTGTTGCGGTAATGTTAATGCTGCTGATTTTGATCTTAGGTTAGGTTTTATTGATTTATCAGAAATGTGAATTTAGTTTGTGTATTGTGCTAATGTTTATCGCGTTTGATCTTGATATTTGATTTAGTTGAGGTTATAAAAAATCTGAGCCTTTGCTTATATCATGGTAATGTTAATTCTGCTATAATTTTGAGATTATTTTGATGGGATAGATTTTGACATTTGGGTTAATTTGGCTAGTGTAACAAAGGAAGGATTTGCATAGGTGCTGATATTCTTGACAAAAAAGTGATTTACATGGGTTATGGTTTAATTATATCTGATTGGTTTTTACTTATTGTCTCTTGATTTATTAAAGTTAGAGTCTTTTGTTGGTTGATAATATCAATTCTGTTTAGAAGCAATTTGGTATTTATTTAATTCGTAGCTGACCATGGTTGAATTAATTGGTTTTTTTCACCGTTGTGACAAGGTTGTTCATTATTCCATTGAACCCATCGATTTGGTAGCCTGTCTCTTGAAACACTTGGCTCTGGAAAAGTAGAAATTGAAAATCTGAGCCATACTGCATTATGCGATGAATTTGACTTATTGTTGAGTCTAAAGACGAGAAAATTTTGTCAGTTATAGATACATGCTAATTGAGCCTTTCAGGCATGGTAAATTGTGTTTGTTAGTGGTTTTCTCCTTGGGGATCCCAAGTTTTGCGTATTCTGAAAGAACTTTATTTTGTTGTGATTTCCTTACTTTCCTTTTTCTTTTTTGGAATTCCATTATATATCATTGTTTACTAAGACTATGTATGCATATTAATGTTACGACTTTTGGATGAGTGTATGTGGAGACAGAAAATAAGAATGAATATGTATATATATTTGACTGTTTAACTCTGTTGAATTACTCAAACACGCTTTGATGCTTGTCTATACACCCAAAATAAGTTTATCAATTTGGCTTTGGTCTATTATTGTTGTAATTTCTTTGCTTTCTTGTTGCAGCAAAACTACACTGTTTTGACAGAAGCTGACATTCGTCAGCATCAAGAGGAGGATATTATGAGGATATCTACAGTGCTTTCCATTTCAAAGGTTTCAGCTAGCATACTGCTCCGCTACTATAGTTGGTAAAATGCTGTCTCCAGTCTGGTGTATTTTTTATTTAGCTTTACATTTTTCTGTCCAAATGGACTGCCTTTACTTTTAGTGCTGGATATCTGGGTTACTGTGAACTAAATTTAGTTTGTCAGATCATTTCCATCAGGCCTTACCCAATTTGTTTACCATGCATTTATTTGAAAAGCTTTATGCCTTGGTGCGTTATTTGTAAGAATCTATACTTCCTTTGTACTCACAGGAGTGTCAGTAAAGTACATGATGAGTGGTTTGCAGATGAAGAAAAGGTTCGCAGGGCTGTTGGCTTACCGGAGAAACCAGTTGTGGATTACCCTAATGCTCAAGAAGTAAGCAGCCTAAGCTTTAGGATCTCATCAAGTTCTAGCATTTTTCGCTTGATAGTTGGGCATGTTGACTACTTTTTTGGTGTTTTAATGCACCAAACAGGTATATATTATTTAAATCTTTTTATAATGTGTTGTTTTTTGACAGCATAACTGTGGGATTTGTTTTGAAACCTATCCTCGTGATAAGATGCATGCTGCAGCTTGTGGCCATCCTTTTTGCTCCTCATGCTGGGCAGGTTTGATACAACTTTCATAGTGTTCCTTTTTCTTTCATGGGAAATCTGAACTTTCAGTACAGTGTGGCAAGATTTTTTCACATTTCTATTATTACCGGGGATGAATGTTGTATAAGAAAAATATGTCGGTAATTTGGTCAAACTGTTGTCTCAAGAGTCCTCCATACATATGCACCTCACCTATCTGTTCAAGGTCAGTGTCAATGGCATTACTATGGCCGCCCTTAAAAAGAAAGACTGGTGGCAAATGACCTCTCTTCTTGTCATAATTTAGTGGGTCTTTTATTGTTAAAATATTTTTTTTTTCCCATAATAAACAGTATTTTGTAGGAGCTATATTATATATAAATTATGTATGTATACATGATATGAATGTCAATAGTGCAAAGCTACGTTATTTGTATTATAGCTATATTTTCTTCTACTTACTACTGAGACAAGTTTTATATTTGTTTTTACATGTCTGTCATTTTATATCCCGGAATTTGAATTTTTGAATTTTTGAACTTTCTATCTTTTTTCATTTTGTTATTGTGTATCCAAATGAGTTTTGAGTTTGATCTTACATTCTGTTATCATTTTCTTATTCCCTTCAAGGTTATATTAGCACAGCCATTAATGATGGCCCTGGCTGTCTGATGTTGCGCTGTCCGGATCCATCTTGTGGTGCCGTTGTTTGCCAAGATATGATTAATGCTTTGGCTTCCGCTGAAGACAAGGAGAAGTATTCTCGCTACTTTATTAGATCTTATGTTGAAGACAATAGGAAGGTAATCTTAAGTTGGAACTTTGACAAGTGTTTTTCTTCTCCCAAAAAATGCAAAAATGTTTAATTATTTACGACTGTTGTTGGCAAGTTGACCAATTAGCCTTAGTTTAGCTGATAAAAGATTGCTTTATTGCTGATTAAAAATCCAGCTGGAGTTCTATGGCTATTATTATTTTTTCACTATAAAACACCATTACTGACTCAACTACTGGATACCAAACCTTTTCATTGTCCTGTACAACATCATCATTACCTTCGTACTATATTACTTTGTGGATTCTAAGTGAGGTTCCAAACTTATAGTTTGCATTGGAGTATTCCTTTAACAAGTCTTCATTCAACATTTTGCTGACTCTTGTTCATGCTGGTTCTTTGTAGACCAAATGGTGTCCTGCTCCAGGCTGTGATTATGCTATAGATTTCATTGTTGGTGGTGGAAGCTATGATGTTACCTGCCGCTGTTCATATAGCTTTTGCTGGAATGTGAGTTTCTTCGAATTCTTCACAGATTGTTTTTATCTTCGCTGAATATAAATTTTGAATGGAACTGCATATCTGTGCATGTTGCATGCACACGGGACACAGGATGTGTTGATAAAATAATACATATATATATATATTTGTTCTTCCTTCCTATTCTTATTTTATGCTTTGTTTTGTTTTCATATCACCCCTTAAATATTTTAGAATAGCACTCGGCTATATATAAATGTTTTTTTTTCAAAAAAAGAAAAGAAGAAACAACCACGTAACTTTTGAAAATTATCCTTGGATCCCCTTTTCTTTTATCAAAAAGGAAAATTACTTGGATACTCAGTGTTTGAAAATTTTGGCCTTGTCTCATTGGTGCTCATGGCATTTAAATCATATGAATTTTACATTGCAGTGTACTGAGGAAGCTCACCGTCCGGTTGATTGCGGCACTGTGGCAAAATGGATATTGAAGAATAGTGCCGAATCTGAAAATATGAATTGGTATGCAATACGTTAGTGATTAGTGACAAAATTAACTTATAAAGTTTGAGGACAGTGATCACATTTGAACATTGGACGACTCCTTGGGCCATAGGATGATGGGACAATAATCTATGTACTGATGTAAAGTGGTGTGTGGTGAAAGCATGGCCCAGTACCTGCCTTGATAATTGTGTAGCCTTTCTACCCTTGTCCACGTGGATATGCCTTTTGATCATATTACAGCATAATAACCTTATTAGCTAGATAGTACACAAATATGTGGTACTGGCCAAAAGTTGGTGTGGAATGGTCACCTTAACATGGACTTTATAAGTCGGGAACTAAGTTCTAGATGATTCCCAAAATATTGAAGGGAGTAAAATATCTCAATGTTTGGTTTGTTAAGCTTATAATAGGGACAAAGTCATGCTTATATTTCAGTTCCTATTACAAATATTTTGAAGGGTATAACCACAAAGAGAGATGGGTATCCTGGGTTACAACAGGGATGGATTGAAAGAAGACTAATCTTTAAGATTCCCCTTGTTTTGCATGATCTCACAAATACTTCACGAATATATACATGTATCCATTCCCAAGAACTTTAAAATCTTAAAGGGCCTATATCTCTCTTGTGCACATGCCAACAATAGGTCTGGTTATTTACTGTCATGTAAATGCCTTCAATACATTATAATAAACAGTGGCTCACAAAATGTTTTGTTGCCTGTATTGATTTTAGGCCAAAAATGCTAAGTTAAAATGTTGATGGATTTCAGGATATTGGCTAATTCTAAGCCGTGCCCAAAGTGCAAGCGACCGATTGAGAAAAACCAAGGCTGTATGCATATCACTTGCACACCACCTTGTAAATTTGAGTTTTGCTGGTAAGCTTTTTAGCTATACTACCTGTTGTTTTTGATTTCTTGTGCATCATAATGAAATGTGACTTATTACCTTTACGTTCGTTTCTAGTCTTTTAGGTAGTCATCTATATATATAAAGCAAAATGCAAAGAATGGTAAAACATTCAAATTACCAGAAAATGCCCTTGGTTAATGCAAACATTAAGAATTGAAATTATTAATTAAATGAGGATAATATGGTAAATTCACACTTTTTCATATTAAAAAAAATTAAAATTAAAAGAAAAACAGGTAATGGATCCTATTTTTATGGAGCACAACTACCTATTATCTTTTTTAATTCTAAAATAAATTTAAATTTTTTTTAAAAAAGCCTCTTGCAGGCGCGGAAGCGCGTGCGGAGAGGCTAGTAACTTGTTATGTCAAAGCTGGATTTCATGTTGTCATGCATCTTGTGTGAACCATATCTGCTATAAAAAAACCCCAAAAAATAATCTTTCTGGAACATTTTGATACAAGTTGTAGATGATTTCAGGCTTTGCCTCGGTGCATGGTCGGATCATGGTGAAAGGACAGGTGGATTTTATGCATGTAATCGTTATGAGACAGCAAAGCAGGAGGGAGTGGTATGTTAATGTAGTTTCCGTCTCTATTTTGATGGTTGAGTATTTTCTCAAGCTACTATTTCAGTATGTGGCATGTTATATAATTATTATTGTAATGTTATTTACAGTATGATGAGACAGAGAAGCGAAGAGAGATGGCCAAGAACTCTCTAGAGAGGTACACTCATTATTATGAAAGATGGGCAACCAATCAATCGGTATGTACAAGTTTGTCAAAAATATAGTAAAACTGATTCAGTTCTTGTCATTGTGCTTGAAACGATAGGTTTTTCCGAAGTTCCATGTTTGCTCATGTTGTAATGTTTGTTAATTATCTAAATGGCATCTTTCTAAATTAAGTCATTTTGGTTGAGTAACTTATTTAGCTATATTTTACCTTTGTAGTAAATAATTGATCTCATCAGTTACAAAGATACAATGCAAAATCTGTTGACAAACCGGTATTGTGCTTGATGCAATCAGTTTGCTTAAGTCGGCTATCTTTTATAAAATGTCTTGTTGCTTTTGGTTGACTTGTGTACACTTCACTCCTTGGTAATAAATAATCTTGTAAGTGTGCGTCCACACATGGATATACCTGTTAAAAAGAAATTATTCTTTAGCCCTTTGTATAATTTTAAATACATGTTTTCCATTTTAATCTGTGAGAGTATTTTAAGTTAGAACCTAAAATATTCCCTTTTTTCCCCATCACTACAGTCCAGGCAAAAAGCACTTGCAGACTTGCAGCAGATGCAAACTGTGCATGTAAGTAAAACCTTTTACTATCAGGGCTTTCTTGGTTAGTGATGCTGGTATAGCTGATTGATGTGGCTATCAATTGTGGTGAATGTGTTCCTGGGCCCATGTGTAGCATAGTGCATTTAATAAATGTACAATTTTCTCCTTTCTTTCCTACTATTTGGCATTCTGCTTGTTAAGTTATCTATAGTTTTAATTTTGTGTCAATGTAGCTTGAGAAGCTGAGCGACATCCAGTGCCAACCTGAGTCACAGCTGAAGTTCATTACAGAGGCCTGGCTACAGGTACACCACAAGTTCACTTTTCTACTGAGAGCCGATTGCTTTTTCTTATTTGATTTTCTCCATTTACAGATAGTTGAATGTAGGCGAGTACTAAAATGGACTTATGCCTATGGGTATTATTTACCTGAGCATGAACATGCCAAGAGACAGTTCTTTGAGTACTTGCAAGGTATGTCATTTTCTCAGACTTGAAGATAGACATTGCATGTTGTTGATTTATCCTAATTAATCTGTTTCTGCAGGTGAAGCTGAGTCTGGGTTGGAACGACTTCATCAATGTGCAGAAAAGGAGCTACAAGTTTACCTCAATGAAGAGGACCCATCGAAAGATTTCAATGAGTTCCGCACAAAACTTGCTGGATTGACCAGGTTATTTTGAACTAAAGATTTTACCTTCTATATTTCTCATTGGATAAGTTGACTACTGCTGGGAGGTAGTGGCTGGGTCAAAGGGAAGGGTGGTTATTTGTTAGTATTATTATTTGTGTGTGTGTGTGTGTGTGGTTTTGGCGGTGGGGGTTGTTGGCAACTTGGTAAAGTGAAGCAAGGCAAGTCAGATTGTCCACATTATTCTATGATTTTTAAGATTTCAAAAGCAAGTACGATCGTGTGGAAGCCTTTGCTCAACGTCATGTATTAGAGAGTTTGTTGTTTAATTTTTTTAGATTATCAAACTCATTTTCAAATCTTTTTTACTTTACATGTTGACTGACTTGGGATGATATAGCTTTTCAACTTATTGATTTATGGTTCAAATTCAATGAAAACAGTGTGACTCGAAACTACTTTGAAAATTTAGTTCGAGCTCTGGAGAATGGTCTATCAGATGTGGACTCCCATGGTGCCTGCAGCAGGACAGCAAGCTCAAAGAATTTGGGAGGCACAAGCAACAAGGGAAGGGGTGGGAGGGGCAAGGCAACAACATCTAGGTCAAGTAGTTCCAGTAGAAATATTGATGATTTAGGCCACTGGTCCTGTGAACACTGCACCTTTGCAAATGTCAAGTCGGCCACGGTGTGCCAGATGTGTGGCCAGATGTGTCAACAACGCCGATAACTTATTTTTCCTATGCAAATTGACCTACTTGGATGTCAAGGCCTTGGTTTTGCCTCTTTGGCTGGCAGGTTTCTGTGGATAAGCACCCTAGCGGTTTGCTAGGGAGGGAAAAATTTCGATTGGTTACTTTATATTTGGAATTATAGGTGCGAGGACAAAGCAGAAAATAAGAAGGGTGGGAGGAAGGAGTAATACTCTGTCCGTCTTGTTTATTGGAACATGAGCTGTATATAGTTCCTACTGTTTGTCTAGCTTCGGTGGCTGTCTTTGATTCATGCAAATGCCTTCATCTGTAATTTTCTTGTCATTATCAGTTGCTGATAAACTTGTAGCAAGTTTGAAGCTTTAAAGTGGGTTGTAAGAGTAAACTAGTTGGGGACAAGAAACTGAATTGGCCCCTGCACAAATGAAATAAGTATGTACAATTTATCTTTCTTTTTCTCATCTTGAATACCAGAAAAAAAAAAAAAAAGGAAATCCCTTTTGGCTTTGATCAGTTCTCAATAATTTCCTTTTTCAGTAGGGTGAGAAAACTCAGCTTTTCCTTGCACTAGCGTTCCGCAATTAGCAAGGCTTCCTTGATTAGATTACTCTTATGCAAGGGGGTGTGCACCTGTTTCTCTTTCTTGATTTTTAAAATGAAAAAATAAAAAACAACAAACAACTGAAAAACCAATTGACACACGCCTGGCTACTAGCTAGTTAGTAGAAAAAGAAAAGGTGGAAGGTGCGATAATATCAAACAGGATTGTGTTTAGGTCTTCATGTTTTAGGAGTTTATTTCTTTTATTTATTTATGAGAATTTAGGAGTTTATCTCAATGTAAATAAATTTAAAAGGGAGAAAGAGAGAGACAGAGAGGAGAAATCTCATAAAACTGTAGAGATCAAGCAGGAGTACATGAGGTTTTCACAACTCATCAACTCCTTAAATTACAGGAACGTAAAAAAAATTACATACTTCATTGGTCCCAGACTCTGAAGCTCTGGATGAAACTCACGAATTTTCTGCAATATATACAGGTCTAAAAGGAGAGAGAGAGAGAGAGAGAGAGAGAGAGAGAGAGAGAGAGAGAGAGAGAGAGAGAGAGAGAGAGAGAGAGAGAGAGAGAGAGAGAGAGAGAGAGAGAGAGAGAGAGAGAGAGAGAGAGAGAGAGAGAGAGAGAGAGAGAGAGAGAGAGAGAGAGAGAGAGAGAGAGAGAGAGAGAGAGAGAGAGAGAGAGAGAGAGAGAGAGAGAGAGAGAGAGAGAGAGAGAGAGAGAGAGAGAGAGAGAGAGAGAGAGAGAGAGAGAGAGAGAGAGAGAGAGAGAGAGAGAGAGAGAGAGAGAGAGAGAGAGAGAGAGAGAGAGAGAGAGAGAGAGAGAGAGAGAGAGAGAGAGAGAGAGAGAGAGAGAGAGAGAGAGAGAGAGAGAGAGAGAGAGAGAGAGAGAGAGAGAGAGAGAGAGAGAGAGAGAGAGAGAGAGAGAGAGAGAGAGAGAGAGAGAGAGAGAGAGAGAGAGAGAGAGAGAGAGAGAGAGAGAGAGAGAGAGAGAGAGAGAGAGAGAGAGAGAGAGAGAGAGAGAGAGAGAGAGAGTGTGTGGGTTCGATCATGTATGCGTCCCACAGCCACTTCAAACTTACAGAATAGATCAGTAACAATTGTATTCCTGGAGCTTAATTTTTAGTGGCTGAGATGAGATGGATTTGGATTTCTTGGGTTTTTCAGAGTGGCACACAAGTGAACCATCAGACTTCACTAGGTTAGGCTGGGAATATCAACACGAGATGATACCAAACAACCACGGAATTGCTGCAGCATATTGTCGGCAAACCGATTTCAGCCTCCTCTCCACTTTCTGTATTTCAAATAAATCATACTACGCTTTTAAAATAACTATCATAAAAGTTCCAGTTTAAATTGACAAAATGGATGCAAAGACTGCAAGTCTTCTACAACTGCATAGAGCCATATTGTATTACACAACAAACACAACTTCCTTACTTCAGTTTTCTAAATTGAGCCACAGCACATTAGGGGTACAGCCTACAGCCACTTGTTGCAATTAACATGCTAGGGGACTAGGGCTGCCTCCTCTCCCAACATCAATTTCTTAATCTTAGGAGTCGCCTTGCCTTCTTAAATGCAACACAACCAATTCATCACCAAATCCAAACCCACTTCAAATATTATCTGCCATAGCAGACCTCAAAGCATCACTTCTTCCTGTTGTTTTGTTTGTTCATGTGAACTCAAGCCTGCATGAAATGCGTTCTATTCAGCAACAAGGAATGTTGATACAACTTGAAGAAATGTGAGCCCAATTTTGCACTCTGCAATGTGCATAGTATTATATACTTCTGGTTTTGTAGACAGTATAAGCCAACAGTAGTGGAATTGTGAGGCTATATCCTGGAAAATTGAGAATGGGATTCATCTCATATGCTTTGATGAGAGCCCTGCAATTCTGTAATCCAAGGACAAAAGAAAGAAAGAAATCAAAGTAAAACATACATGAGTAAAATGATGCAAACCATTTACAGAAAAAGAAAAAACAAAACAAAAAATGCATCTCCATTTATTACCTAGTAGTCATTTCTCCAATACGGTTCCCAGGATGACAGAGGAAAGAAAATTTAGTTTGGAGACCTTGTAACGTTTCAGAATGGTGGTTGCAAGGTTCCAAACAATTTCTTGCCTCCATCATCTTAAGAAGTCTGGATGAGTATTCACATATGTACTTCACAAAATAAAATGATGTGATTTAACAATTCAAATAATATAAGAGGACAAGAAAGGTCTAACAAATAAGCCTATCACCAAGGGTTGGAGAGGTCCCTCTGTAACTTGAGAGAAAGCAATGAGGGTTAATGACTACACTCAAATACTTTAAATAAAATGTACCAAGATCCCATTCCCATGAACTACATGTATTTCAAGCAGAAATGGATTGGAGAAAGGAACCTTACCATAAAATGCTTCCAACAAACTGCCAAGCAAAGAACCAAAAGAACTTTTCGAATCCACCGGTTTCCAACACAGGAATTTGATTTCCTACTCCGTTGGTAATCATACCATAAAGAACTCCTTTCCTCTTGATCATAGTCATCTTCTTTCTTCCCCGTAAGTGAGAGAAAGTTTTCCCTGGAGATCTGTTTTTCAGTAGCCAAAGCCCCAGTCAGCAAAATAGCAGGAAAAACCACAAAGAAGAGATGTGGAAGAACAACCACCATTATATCTGGAGATCCGGCATATTCATGTTTTCCCTTTTGATTGAAAGATTTAACTACCCACCCCATATAGGTCATGTATCCTTTATCCTTGTCGTCCGTGAAAACTTTCCCAATAAACCAGGGGAATAATATAAGGTAGAATAAGTATCCTAAAAAACCAAACCATGTGAAGGGAACCCTGCTAAGCTCCTGTAAAACAAATCCTATGCCATTTAGGAAGCCCTTATTCTTGTAAGTGAAATGCCTAATTGAGAAAATGAGGAGAGCTTTTGGAATAAGGAGAATGGAGAGTATAAAGTACACAGCACACCAGAACATTGGGTAATACAAAGCAGCCCATTGACAACCCATGACCATAAACTCCTTCCATGTCCATGAGAGCATAGTACTAAGACCATTAACAGAAAACGGCCTTAAATCAGTTGAAGTCGATCTGCCCATGAAGTCAGTTGCTTCTATTTGCAGCCAATATCTATTAGGAATTGGATCCTCAAAGGCTCTATAATTCCATGGAGCAACATAAAGATCTCCCCTGGAGGTGTTATCCACGAGCTTTCTCATGGGTGCCTCAAATACCAGATTGAGATATCCAGGTCTTGAGTCATAGATCCTAGTCATAACCGACACAATTGGAGAAACAGAAAATACCAGGGCTCTTACTGTCTCGTAAGATACCACAGCATGACATTCATACTTATGATGGGATGAAGATGTTGACATGAACCGTGAATCCAGGGGAAAAGTTGGCAATATGATAGTCTTTTTGGTGCCTGACATGAAGTCAATGTCAACATACGAAACATGACCTCTATCAATGGCCAAAATTCTCATGGCTCTGCTCTTCCTCCAGTCACCCATCTCCCACTCCCAGAATTCTCTAGCCGCTGGGGCTTCAATTGAACAATTAGCAGTACCATGAAAAGATAATTGGTGTACATTTGGCTGGAAAAATTTCTGCAACGATAAAAAATGACGACTCAACTGATGATGCCGCTTCAAGTTTTTACCAAACCGTGTATGGAGATGCCCACATATATAAGCCGATATGGAATGATTGAGGAAGATATCTTTTAGGCTCTTCCCAGAGTATGAGGTTGCTGAGAATGAAAGAGGAAAATGCCCAAAGGAAATCTTGCTTAATGGTTTTTCTGATTGAGAATCCCACTGTGAGAGCTCCATATCCAGTTCTGCTAATAGTTGATCAGTTGGATGCCCAAAAAGATTAGTGGGACCTCGTAGACCAACAGACATTGTGCTATCTACTCCAACAAACAGATGCTTCCGCTCACCAGTCTGGATGGAAAGAAAAGTGTAAAATTGGGGAAATTATGAAAAGCTTTTGAATTAACAAACACTCAATGGAATGCCAGCATCTGTAGTTAAAAATTGGGAAATGGGAATGTACAATTAAAGTTCAACTCTTAGGTTACACAACTTAAAGTTCAGTTATTGAAACCTTGGAACTGTTTGGGATTTCCTTGAAAGGAATAACTCACCTGAAGTGTGACACTATTGACATTCCCAGTTCTGCCCAACTGCCCATTGATGCTATACTTTGAAAAGAAATCAAAGGAACCACCAAGCACCGGTACGCCAAAGTTATCGTGATTCCCTCTAAGATCAAAGAAGATACTCCTGTCAAGTCTACTCCTTTTTATCACATCTGCCATCATGTTCTGGTATTCCACCCACTCCTCCTCATTTTGCTTCATTGTCAACAAATCCTTGCTTTTTCCATCTGAAGGAGATAAGGAAAATAAGATTATTAAAACTATCACTATTAATATTGTTATAGAAGAAAAGCCAAGCATAACTATGAAGATTTTTTTATTGAAGTATGGTTCCAAATACGATAAGGAAAATAAGATTATTAAAACTATCACTATTAATATTGTTATAGAAGAAAAGCCAAGCATAACTATGAAGATTTTTTATTGAAGTATGGTTCCAAATAGCAAACACTTTGCATCCATCTCTTGCCCCATTAGTGAATAAGCTAAATGCGTCACAGGGCTTTCTATTATCATTTCAAGCCTGAGACTTGACTCATTAGTTATCAAAATTTGAGAATATCAAGATTGAGTATAGTCTCAGATTGCTAAGCTATTTATGACTTCCCCAATCCAATAAAAAATGAGAAAGCGAAAGAAAAATATTCCTCTTTTACGTACAATACAATCCTGAATCCTGACTTGAGGGATAAAAAATCCAAACATAACATGAAATCTTCGACATACATGAAGTTAAATCAGCAAAACATAAAAGGGAAATACTTTCAAAGGGGAACGGTAAAAAGAAACAAAAATAAAAACCTGTGAGATCACCGGTGATGAGGACCAGAGAAGGGTTGATCATGGAGAGAGCAGGCCCCACAAAGTTCTTGAAGTCAAGTGCTCTGTCAGGATGGTGGACACTGAAATGAAGATCAGAAAGCTGAACCACCCACACTAGTGACTCTGGGCCTCCCTTTACATCTATCACTCTCCTGTGCGAACTGGATTTTGAAGACGAGAATTCGAATTCTTCACTTGCTGCATAGACAGTGAGGCATAAAAAGAGCTCTAGCATCAGAATGGCACTCCCCATTTTGTTTTCCCCCGTAATCTTTAAATCCTCCACTAAATAGCTTTCTTTTGTGTCTTCAGGAGATTCAGAAACAGGACAAAGTCTTGTCCTTGGGCCTTGGCTATCTGTAACTTAGAACAAGAAAGAAAGAAGCAACAGATTACATACAACAACTGAATACGTTAGACATATGCAATATAGGTATAGCCGAGCGGCTATACTATATAAATATTCGAATATATTTGAGAAGTATAGCCGCGCGGATATACTATTTAAATATTTGAATATATTTAAGAAGTATAGCCGGGCGGCTATACTATTTTGACACTCGGAAATAATTAAGAAGTATAGCCGACCGGCTATATTATTTAAATATTCGAATATATTTGAAAAGTATAGCATAGTCGTATATTTAAACTTTTGTTTTTGGTCGAAATTTTCGTAAATTCGTATATTTAAACTAAAAGGAGAAATGTCAAAAGGTAAAAACAAATGGAGAAAAAGAGTAATATTTACAAAGAGAAAACAAATAGAGCGATGCTGAGTCTCATGTTCTGGTCTGGTTGCTGATTGCTCAAATTAAGAACACAATCCACTGCTATCAACAACAAAAAAACAGAAAGCACTGCCTGCAAAGTCCAGGCAATCCCCGACCTCACTCATTCCTGCTCCTCATTTGTCATTCATGAAGACATAAAGATACGCACTTGTAATTCTATCGCCACTATCTTCTTGACTACTTGTCCTCTTCTTTTTCAGGGCGAGTAATCTTTTTATCTGTCTTTTACTAATTTATATTTGTTTCCCGGAAGTTGCTGCTATCAGGGTTATTTATTATTCTTTATGGTATTTATTTGAAAGGATCCCTAGTAGTTGGTTCAATATTTCTTCAAGTTTTGGTTACATTTTCCTTTTCTCTGGGGTTCTTATCATCGGGGTTCTTGGTGATTGCTCAAATGGGTTTTTAGAGGTGACGTTAAGTATTTTATTTATTTTTCCTTGTTGCATTAGTGTTTGTTTGATTTATGTTCTTACGGATTCTAGTAATTACTAACTTAGGTTCTTAAATTCCTAGTGTTAATTATGCAATTTCTTCTCTTTTATTAATTTTCATTTGGTTCTGGACGACTCCAGATAAAAAATTTGGTGGCTTGAGCCCAGTGTGGCTGTGGAAATTGATGGAACCCTAAGAATGAGTTGGTTTTGAAGGGTTAACCGAGTAAGGTTTAGGTTTATGTTCTGGTCTTGGGGCTTGATGAGATCCATACCACATGCTGCCTACCATCTTATTCTGAATCGTACTTACATAATTACAGTGGACTAACAAATAACCTCCTTACGTCTGAAGAGTATGGCCTAATGATTCTTAGTTTCAACAATGACTGAGTAATCAAAAGTGTTCAATTGAAGCCTTGAGTACTAAAAGATAATCCATATTGCGTCATGGTTCTTATGAGAGATCATCACTGTTCACATTGTGTATCCATTTATTTTCTATAATTGTAGTTCATGGCCTGTCGAATGGGAACTACAATGCTACAGTCAAGTTTACTAGCAGTGGAGAATCAAATCTCTGAAAGATTGCCTATAACCCTTGCAAACCAGAACTGTTGCAGTGAACCAAGTTTAATCAGGCAAACTTCAAAGATTGGCATAAAGTCTGTGCCATTCCTCCAAAGGAGGTATGCTTAATGAAACCAAATGTTTTTTTTTCTAGATCATGAAGTTTTATATTGTATATGGCTTCATGCTGCGTCTCAGCCTTTTCATTTTCGAGTTTATCTGAATATTGGCCATCATGAGTTTTTCTTTCTTCTTTGTTCTTGTTTCTTCACGAATTAAAGTCGACTGCATTATCTTTTCTTTATGAATCTTAGATGATTTGAAATTTCTCTTATTTCTATGACACCTGAATAATTAATCAAATCCCTAAACCCTTCTGAATAATAGTGAGTTGCATGCATCCTTCTTGTGGCAAGGACTGCTATTCTTTCATTCATTTTTGGATTTCCTCTTTTCGCTCTGCTCTGTTCCTACCTATTTCTGAGTTCCAGAATATTATTATGCAGAATGATGCCCAAATTTTGAACGTGGTGCTGTATATTAGGAACTTGTACCAAAATCCTGCCTTCACTAAGAATTAGGGGCTTAAAGGAATGGGAGAGGGCTGCCTCTCATCCTGTGGCCATAGACCTAATGGACCTTGAACGGATGGAAGTATAGATTCTGCTTAGTCCACTTACAGAGAATGAGTTGAGTCAGTTTTGGAAATTTTGTGGGCAGTCAACAGTTGATAGAACTTTTCTTTTTGGTTTAGTTTACAGTAGATTGATTATATATCCACGTCAAATCCAAGTTCTCCGAACTGTACTTAAGAATTATACATGTCCTGGTCCAAGTATGACTAGATAAAATACTTGCTGATGCTTCTTCTTTTATAAGACTATATCGATGCCCCCTCTTAACTTGCTTATTTCTTATGCGGACACAGTTTTCATTCAACAAGGCATCGGTGGAGAATAGCCTTTGCCTTGGACACAGGTGGGGTTCCTGATAATGGTGGGCAAGAGGGCATCAATGGCAACAGCTCTGATCTCAATCGCACTCGATTGGGTCGGATAGTGACTGCAGGTGGAAGACAGCTATTGGAGAAGCTGAATTTAGCCAGAAAAAATTTTCCCATGAAGATATTTCTTCTTCTTTTGGGTTTCTACACAGCAAATGCATTGGCTACAATCCTTGGACAGACCGGCGATTGGGATGTTTTGGTTGCAGGTATTGTGGTTGCTGCCATTGAGGGTATTGGTATGCTTATGTATAGAAAGCCCCCCTCTCTATCAAGTGGGAGGCTGAAGTCTTTTGTCATGATGATAAATTACTGGAAAGCTGGTGTATGCTTAGGCCTCTTTGTGGATGCTTTTAAGTTGGGTAGTTAAAAGGTGCTTTTATCCACCTCAAGTTTGGAACTAAACTCGTGTTTTAAGTATTAACCACCCTCGCTCCATTGGTACCCTGTCCTGTCCGGACTCCGGACTAGATCCACGTGTATCATAAGATCACCAATCTCAACTTCAGTTTTGCAGATAAAAGTTTGTCCTGTCTGTCCTGTTTCTGTACATGCAGCTCTCAGTTTATTGTTTCCTGAACTCCTTTATTTATTTATTATTTTTGTTTCTAGAGAGAGAAATGAAGAGAAATGAATGAAGTTGAGTCATCACTATATATAGGCTTAATATCACAAAACATCCATAAGGTTTACGAAATTATCATATTATATCCTTAATGTTTTTTTTGTGTTATTCGTGATCCTCAAGGTTAGTATGTATGATCATAAATGGTCTCTACTGTTAGGTTCCGTCAAAAACTCTATTAGTTTGCTGACGTGGTATATATATATATATATTACAAAACATCCTTGAGGTTCATGCACATATCACAAATGGTCCTTGCAAAATTTTTTAATTTAAAATTCATAAAATTTTGGTTTTCTTTTTTAAATTATTTAAAAATATATATTGCATTTTAAATACACGTGACACTATATTTTTGAAGATGTGGGCTCCACATGTATGCCACATCAACAAACTTGTTTGTACAATATCTGGCCAAGCACTCCCCAAACACTCCCAAGCCAAAGGGAAGGGAGTCCCACATCGACAAAACACAAGAGGAGGGGACTCTCCCTTCTTTATAAAAGGAGACCTCTCCCCTTCAGGAAGAAGGGGGGTTGGGCAGGCTATTTGGGCCTCATGGGCTTACCCATGAGCCCATTTACAAGCCCACGGAACATCGGCCTTCAGCCAGATCTTCAGCCTCAGACCTTCAATCTTCGGCCTTCAGCCTTCGGCCTTCGGTATTCTTCCTCTTCTCCTTGAGTTTAAACCTATGTGCAATGTATACTCACATTATCGTAATGAGAACATACTTCTCCGTGGACGTAGCCTATTATTCGGGTGAACCACGTACATTTGTCTTTTGTATGCATGCCTATTTACTTACCGAATGCTCTCACACACTGAGGGTTCTTACCTTCAGCATCCACCTCATCTTTAATTTGGCCTATTTACTATCCATCTAGTTTTAGCCCAAACAGATTGGCGCCGTCTGTGGGAAACGATACAAAACACTATCGTTCTCCTTCACGAGTGCTCTCGGCACCCTTTTGAGCCATGCCCTCGGCACCTCCTACAACCAGCCTTCGGCAACCCTGCATCATTCGGCGCGTGCGATGTCTTCACATCCCCCCAATGATTCAGCATCTGCCTTCGGCCTTCGGCACCCATGCATCATTCGGCGCGTGCGATGTCTTCACATCCCCCCAATGATTCAGCATCTGCCTTCGGCCTTCGGCACCCATGCATCATTCGGCGCGTGCGATGTCTTCACATCCCCCCAATGATTCAGCATCTGCCTTCGGCCTTCGGCACCCATGCATCATTCGGCGCGTGCGATGTCTTCACATCCCCCCAATGATTCAGCATCTGCCTTCGGCCTTCGGCACCCATGCATCATTCGGCGCGTGCGATGTCTTCACATCCCTCCAATGATTAGGCATCTGCCTTCGGCCCTCGGCACCCTTGTATCATTCGATGCGTACGATGTCTTCACATCCCCCCGATGATTCGGCATCTGCCTTCGGCCTTCGGCACCCCTGTATCATTCGGCGCGTGCGATGTCTTCACATCCCCCCAATTATTCGGCATCTACCTTCGGCCTTCGGCACCGATGCATCATTCGGCGCGTGCGATGTCTTCACATCCCTCCAATGATTAGGCATCTGCCTTCGGCCCTCGGCACCCTTGCATTATTCGGCGCGTGCGATGTCTTCACATCCCCCCGATGATTCGGCATCTGCCTTCGGCCTTCGGCACCCCTGCATCATTCGGCGCGTGCGATGTCTTCACATCCCTCCAATGATTAGGCATCTGCCTTCGGCCCTCGGC